CAAACTGGAGAATACCCAAATGCCCATCAGCAGTGGAAAGAGTGGTGGTTTATTCAGACAGTGGAATGCTGTATAGCAACACCGAGAGGGGACAGTCCACGGTCATCCGTGCCATTAGGCCACTGTTAGGATGGTGGTTCCTCTTGGGCGGGAGGAGTTAGCGACTGAAGTGGGCCCCAGCGGGGTCTCTGGGGGGAGGTGTGCCCGTCACCCTTCTTGATCTGGGTGCTGGCCATATATTCAGTCTGAAATTCATTGCACCATCCACTTACGATCTGTGCCCTTCCTGGATGTGGATTATACATCATAAGTTAAAAAAAAAAAAATTGAAATAGGTATTTTACTGATGGGGAAACTGAGGCATAGAGCGGGGAAAGCCAAGGTGACACAGAGAAGAAGTCGCTGAACGGGGACCCAGACCTGGCCCCAGGTCTCCCCTCTTAACCACACGCGTGCCGCCTCTCGCTTCCCCCGCAGAGTCGGCCATGGAGAGGGACCGCTACATGAGCCCCATGGAGGCCCAGGAATTTGGCATCTTAGATAAGGTTCTGGTGCACCCTCCCCAGGACGGGGAGGACGAGCCGGAGCTGGTGCAGAAGGAGCCCACGGGGGCGGCGGCGGCCCAACCTGCCCCAGCAAGCGCCTGAGAGCTGGACCTCTCCTCCCGATGAAAGTTGAGGGGCCACGTGCCAGCCAGACGCTGCTGCTGCAGCCCCGCCCACCCCTCGCTGCTGAGCCCCTTGAGGAACTCTGGATTTGGGGGTGCCTGCCCCTGAGGGCGGGTATCCTGGCTGAGACACTGTGATTTTAAATTAAATCTTTGTAGTCTTTGCTCCCTGTCTGTGGCGCCTTCCCTCTCTGCTCCGCCACAGCACGCATGCGCCTGCCCTTCCAAGAGTCCCCCTCTGTTCTCGAACTGACCCCGAGGCTCTGACCTTCAACTCCCTAACTTCAACGCACTCTGTTGAGCAAGTACAATATTCCAGGCACTGTTCTAGAGGCTGCGACATAATGTGAAGAAAACACAAAAATTCCCGTCCTCTAGGAACTTATTCTTGTGATTCTTAGTTTTAGATGGGGTAACCAGAGAAGGCTTTGCTGAGAAGGTGACATTTGAGCAAAGACTGCGGGAGGTGAGGGAGGGAGCTAGGTTGCTATCTTGGGACAGACCAGCCAGAGCGAGTGCAAAGGCCCTGGGGCAGGACTGTGCCTGGCACATGGGCGGAACCGGGAGGAGCCTGGGGTGGCTGGAGTGGAGTGAGAGGGGCGGAGTGGAGAAGATGCCAGCAGAAAGAGGAGGAGGATGGGTCTTAAAAGACTTGGCAGGTCTTAGCAAGGAGGGAGATGAGCCACGAAGAGTTGTGAGAAGAGGAAGGAAAAGAAGCATGACCATGGCTTCCACGGAGAGGTGAGAGGAGTTTCTGCAGCAAGCCCAGAAACCTGGAGACCAGTTAGGAGACTGTTGGAATAATCCAGATGGAGGCTGATGGCCCCTGCCAGGTGGTGAGAAGAGGTCGGATTCCAGCCAGGTTTTAAAGGCAGGGCTGACAGATGGACGAGAGATTTGAGAGAAAACGTAATCTCCCCAAACTCCAAGATTTTGGCCCAAAGCAGGTAGGAAAATGGAGAGCTATTCATTGAGATGCGAAGGCTGGCGGGGGGAGGAGCAGGTTTGGGGGCTGGGATCAGGAGTTGGACATTTGATGTTTGACGTGCCTCAGACATCCCAGGGGACGGGTAAGTCTGAGGTCAGCGCTGGGAATTAAAATGTAGGAGACGTCAGGATGTCGATGAATTAGCCGGCAGGCTGAGAACTGGCTGTTGGGTCTGGCAGGGTGGAAGTCACTAGTGGCCTTAAATAAGATCACTTTCGGTGCTGTGGGGGCCAAAAGCCAGATTGGAGCGGACCCAGAGAGAAGGGGAGGGAAATATTGGAGCTAGACAAGTGCTTCGAGGAATGTTGCTGTAAAGGAGAGCAGAGAACGTGGGGCTGTGCCTGGAGGGAGAATTGGGGTCAGTGTTTTTTTTTTTTTTTTTTAATTCAGTGGACTTTTTTATTTGGCTATGTTCATCAGTTACACATGGTTGAACTTTTCATTCTGGACAATTTTAAATATATACAAAAAGAGAGTCGGATCCCATTCAGTTTCCACTTTTTGGCAAGTGACCTCTTAGCCAAGGGTGTATGCTTGCTTTCGTGACTAGGAGCCCGTGAGAATCCTTGTCTGGATCCACTAATATTGCAGTAAGGGCTGCAAAATGATGACACGCCAACGCTACTGTTACAGGAAGAGGTTTTTTTGTTTATATCTTGTTTGTAAGATGGGAGCCAGCCTGTCTGTACGCGGGTGGGAATGATCCGGCAGAGGTGAAATGGGTGATGCCTCGCTTTGACCTTTGACCGCAACCCCCAACTCCACAAACTTGACCCCACCCCATAATCGTGGCCTTGACGTGACTCTTCTGACCCCTGTACCCTTGACTCCTTCATCTCAGCCTGACTGTACTCTACCCTTAACCTCTAGCCCTTGCCGACTCCATAATCTCGGCCCTGGCCCAAATCCTTCTATGACCCCTGACCTCTGACCCCAGGCCAAAACTGTCTTCGCCTGCCCCCACCCGCCTCCGCCCCCTGGAGGACGGACTTGCGGCACAGCCAATAGTCTAAGTTACTGCGGTAATGGTGCCCAATAGCGCGAGAGAGGGGGCGGGCTTTGCGGGGAGCCAATAGCTTGAGAGGACGAGCCCAGGAGCAACCAGTAGCCTTGAGCGAGAGGCGGGACTCTGAAGAGAGCCAATCGTTGCAGGGACTCGGCGCAGCCCCAGCCAATGGCTCTGAGGCGGGGGCGTTGCCCTGACCCGGCCACTCCCAGGACCCGGCTCCGGGGCTATGGCCGGGACTGGGCGGCTGGCTCTGCGGACGCTGTCCGGGTCGGGCTGGGTGCGGGGCTCGGGCCCGGCCGTGCTGAGCCGCCTGCAGGACGCGGCCGTGGTGCGGCCCGGCTTCCTGAGCGCAGCCGAGGAGGAGACATTGAGCCGGGAGCTGGAGCCCGAGCTGCGCCGCCGCCGCTACGAATACGATCACTGGGACGCGGTGAGGCTAGCGGCGCGGGAGAGCCGCGTCGGGGGCGGAGCCACGTCGGGGGCGGAGCCTTGGACGTCAGGGGCGGGGACGGGAGTGGCGCTCTGGGATGGGGCGGGGCCACAATGAGGGCGGTATCTAGATCAGGGAGCTGTAGGGGCGGGGCTACGGCGGAGGCGGGGCCTGTGGTATTAGCGGGGGGACAGGAGGGCACTCTGGGATATGGAGGGGCTACGATGAGGGCTATTCCTAGATCAGGGAGCTGTGGGGCGGGGCTACGGCGGGGGCGGGGCCTGTGGTATTAGGGGCGGGGACAGGGAATAAAGCGCCGGGATGGGGCGGGGCTACGGCTGGGGGCGGAACCTGGGGAATGGGGCGGAGTCTTGAAGTCCCGTGGGGTGGGTGGGCGGAGGGGAGCCTCGGGACCAGGGAGAGCGCTTTGGAGATGAGGGCAGGGCCATAACTGGAGGCAGGACCTGGAACTGAGGGATGTTTGGGGGACAGGACCGAGGTTAGGGGTGGAAACAGGTGTGGAGCAAGATGAGGGAGAGTCACCTGTTGGGGGCGGAGACAGGGGAGTTGGGTGGGATCAAGTTGTGGGTGGAGACTGAGACAGACATGAATATTGGGGCGGAGCCAGCACTGGGGGCAGGATCTGAATTGGAGCCTGAGGGTGGGTGCAAAGGACTGAGGCCGGAGCTAGATCTGAGACCCAGGATCGTGGGGTAGATAGGACCAAGGCTGTGAGTTGAGGGTGAGGTCAAGGGTCAGCTGGGAAAACCAGCCCTTTTGCTCTGCATCCCCCGGCGCCGCGTGCCTCCGTTTCCCTGTTGCCCCTGGGAGATTCCAGGCTTGACCTGAGCTCTCTGTGCAGGCCATCCACGGCTTCCGAGAGACAGAGAAGTCGCGCTGGTCGGAGGCAAGCCGGGCCATCCTGCAGCGCGTGCAGGCGGCCGCGTTTGGCCCTGGCCAGACCCTGCTGTCCCCTGTGCACGTGCTGGACCTGGAACCTCAGGGCTACATCAAACCGCACGTGGACAGCGTCAAGGTGGGCAGAGGCCAGCGCCTTGGAGCTCCTAGCTGGGGGGATGGGCCGGCCAGGCGGGCCAGAGCCTGACCCGCCACCATGCCCCCTCTTCCAGTTCTGTGGAGCCACCATCGCCGGCCTGTCCCTGCTGTCTCCCAGCGTGATGCGGCTGGTCCACACCCAGGAGCCGGGCGAGTGGCTGGAACTCTTGCTGGAGCCAGGCTCCCTGTACATCCTTAGGTACTGCCCAGCCAGGGAGCCCCCCCACCAGTAATGTGTTAGACTCCCAGCCAGCGCTTTGAGCATCTCCCATTCAGACCTCACAGCCAGCACTACCATTCCCCCCACGGTGGGCAGTTGGCCTGGACTAGGGGCTGCCCTCACCCCACCCAGCCATAGCCTCTGTTTTCTCTTGCAGGGGCTCGGCCCGTTACGACTTCTCCCACGAGATCCTTCGGGACGAAGAGTCCTTTTTTGGGGAGCGTCGGGTTCCCCGGGGCCGACGCATCTCTGTGATCTGCCGCTCCCTCCCGGAGGGGATAGGACCAGAGGGGCTGGGGCAGCCACCCCCAGCCTGCTGATGCCCAGGCCCTTCCCCAGCTTCTCAGAGACACCGAGTTTGTGAATAAAGTTGGACAATGCACAAACTGGCCTTCCTTGCACTGGCTGTTTGCTGGGGCTGAGATCTGCAGGGGAGCCCCACCTGCCCACCCTCGGGAGCTAAGGTGGCAGGGTCCAGGCGCATCCCGGCTGAACACACAGTCACGAGGCTGCAGGAGCAATTTTCTTTATTGTGCTCCTTGCTGGCGGCCCCAGCCCACCTCCCCGTCTTGTCTTCTCGGCGTCCAGATCTGCAATAAATAGGTCAGCAGAGCTCCTCGTGCGGCTGCAGGGCCCCAGGCCGGGCATCCTCAGCCGCCGCAGCCGCAGGCAGCCGCCGAGAGCTGGGGCAGCCGCTGCCAGCGGTGGCGGTCATCGAGGAAGGCCACATCGGCATAGCGGGTGGGCTGGCAGCAGGGCCCACCGTGGGCTCGACCCTGGCCCCGGAGCCTGGCCAGTGTCACGCCGTGCTGGGTGCGGGCGCCGCGGGGACAGCTGCCAGCACAGTAGCGGAAGATGACCGTCTCCTCCGACGTGTAGCCCAGGCCCAGCTCTGCCACGGGCAGGGACAGGCTCCACAGCTGGCACGGGCTGGCCGAGGCTCGGCGCAGGCGGGCACCTGGGGGGGACAAGGGGCAGCTGACAGCGGGCAGAGTCTAGGCAGGAAGGAGTTGGGGAGTCACGCAGGGTCCTGGGGTTCCTTACCCAGCTGTGGCTTTGGGTTCCCTCTCTCTGCCGCTGGCTCAGACAGGAGCTCTCCCTCCGCCACTGGAGCCCCCCGAGCACCAGGGTCCCCGCCGAGGCCCAGCTGCAGCAGCAGAAGCAACAGAGAGCCGAGCACGACTCTTCCTGTGGCCATTGTGACGGACAGGTCCTGAGGATGGGGACGCCCCGAGCCCTCAATTTATCCTCTGCCTGGGCTGAAGAAATAACCTCTTCGCTGCCGGCCACTGCACGGGGACGAGGGCCCCCATGTCCCACGCCAGCTCATCTCCTGCATCTTTGGGGCCAGGCCGGCCCACACCCCGTGCTTCTAAGAGTTAAAGGCCCCCCCACCTCATCCAGACATTCCACAGGCCCATTTCCGACACCCCCTCCGCCCCCTGATTTACGAGTGTGGCGGCGGCAGCCGGGGCTGAACACAGGGCGGGCACCTGGAGCGCCCACCCCACCTGCTGTCTGGAGGGAGAGATGAGGGACTCCCACGGGGGGACTCTGCCCACTCAGGCAGGGTGCTGGGGCTCAGGAGACCCCGCGTCGTGCACCAGGTGGAGTGGTCATGTGTGCAGGGAAGAGGCAGGTTGGCAGGTGGGTGAGCTGACAGAATCCTCCGTCATGGCCCCTCCTGGAGGATTAAGCCATCATGCCCCTGTCTCCGGGCTGGGCTGGGCCAGCGTCAAAACAGGAAAAGGGTGAGGCCTGGGGACAGCCAAGAGCTGGGACACAGGGGACGGGAAGCTCACCCTGCAGGGACTCCTGTCTCTAGAAGGCCAACCTGAGGCCCCCTGGGATCCAGCCCCATCCTGGGGTCAAAGAGTATCAGGGCGGGAGGGCAGGTTGAGCCCCACTGGGTCTTGGGGGCAGCAGCATGTTCTGGGGACTTCTACGCCCGGCCCCGTGACCCGAGGAAGCGAGCCTCCATCCCTCACCTGTGAAGGGGGATAATCAGAGTCCCGCCACACGGAGTTCTGAGGACAGGCAGACACGCGTTTCATGTTAACACGGTGCCAGGCACTGAGGAACTTGTGCGAGTTTTTGAGGCCGAGGAAATACAAACAGCTTATGTGCATTTGAAGAGATGCTTGATCTCACGCAGATGAGACTGGGTTCAAACTCAGATGAGGCTCTGCATGCAAGAGTGGCAAAAATCAGAAAGTTCGGGGGGCTGGGCCCCTGGTGTGGTGGTTAGGTTTAGCACACTCCGCTTCGGTGGCCCAGGTTCGCAGGTTCAGATCCGGGGCGCAGACCTACAACACTCATCAGCCATGCTGTGGTGGCAACCCACACAAACATAGAGGACTGGCACAGATGTTAGCTCAGGGTGAATCTTCCTCAGCAAAAAAAAAAAAAAAAAAAAGTTCGCTTCCACACAGCCGAGTGTGCAAGTGGGACACAGGCCCCCCAGCCCCCCACCTGTGCTGTGGGCAGGAGGGTAAATTGGTCACAGCTGAGCATTGGCTGATAACACTGCCAATCACGTCCCTTTGACCCAGGAAACCTTCGCGGACTCATCCTACACAGATTTTGTTTCAGCAAAAGGCTGGAAATGACTGAAACTCCATCCCCAGCGGATTGCTTTGATAATTTTGGTGTGGTGGTTTTCACTGCAGTACTTATTAAGATGACTTTCAGACCAAAAAAAGTCACTTGTTCAAAGACCCAGAATTAGGAAAAACACCCGGGATTTGAACCCAGGTCCTGCTGAATATAAGGCTCCTGCTCCCAACCACGAGGGCGTGTGGCCTGGCCTGGTGGGGAGTCCTTAGACCGTGGTCCACATGGCAGGAAGGGCAGTAGGGAAACTGCCAGGGCAAGGGGCGAGGGCTTCATTCCTGCTGTCCCCAAAATGGCCTGGCGGAAGGATGGGGAGGGATGCTGGACTGCCCTGGGACATTCCTAGGAATTAGCCTGACATCTCAGGCATCCCCGCTCGGCAGCCAAGGGCCTGTGGAACGGGGTGGGGAAGTTTCCACCTGCCGTTTCCAGCCACGGGCAAGAGGGAAGCCCGACATCCGGCCCCCAGCTGGATTGCTCGGAACAGGGGTTCAAAAGTAGCTCGTGCTGCCAAATTCGGCTTCCAGCAACGTTACTGTGCATGAACTCAAAAAGCTCTCCGGCTACAGAACACCTAGCAAAACTGGATAAAGTAAATGCATAACCGACTTGTAAGAAAATAAAGGAAGCTCCAGAAAACATGACTGGAAAGCTGAAAACTAGGGAGGGCCCAGATGCCAACATCAGCAACAAAGGGGTCTGGGAGTTTGTGGCCACGTAGAGACAGGGCCCCGAAGCTGAGAACCACACCTCAAACAGGCTCAGGCTGGGACTCCTGGGGCATCTGGCAGGAGCAAGGCAAAAACGATCTGGAAGGAGCTGCCTGCAAAACAGACCGCCCAGGAGTCCCGCAGATAGAGCCCCCAAGCCAGCCAGGAGTCCCCCGTCCAAAATTACAAAGCACAAGAATCCATCACGAAAGGGAGTCAAACGACACCTGTCTGTGAGCTTTGGGCACTACAAGTGTCTGGCAGAGACTATAAGACAGGGATGCTGAAGATAAAAACGTGAAAGAAGGGATCAGGAACAGAAGGGGCAAGACACTGTCCAAACAGACCAGCCGATCTGAAAAACAACAGAGATGACTTCGAGCACTGGAAAATAGTCATTGAAACTAAGTACAGGCAGACCTCATTTTATTGCGCTTTGCAGATGTTATTTTTGGTGTGTGTGTGTGAGGCAGATCAGCCGTGAGCTAACGTCTGCCAATCCTCCTCTTTTTGCTGAGGAAGACTGGCCCTGGGCTAACACCCGTGCCCATCTTCCTCCACTTTGTATGTGGGACGCCGCCACAGCACGGCTTGATAGGCAATGCGTAGGTCCACGCCCAGGATCCGAACCTGAGCATCCCGGGCTGCCGAAGCAGAGCACGCAAAGCTAACACCTACACCACCGGCCCGGCCCCCGGATGTTGCATTTTTTACAAGACCCACCTCCAGCAAAAAGATTACGACTTGCTGAAGGCTCAGATGACGCTTAGCATTTTTCAGCCATAAAGGATTTCTTAATTAAGGTACGTACATTGTTTTTAAGACATAATGTTACTGCACACTGCAAAAACTACAGTATAAACATAACTTTTATACGTGCTGGGACACCAAAAAATTCGTGTGACTCGCATTATTGCAATATTTGCTTTATTGCGGTGGTCTGGACCTGAACCCACGATATCTGCGAGGTGAGCCTGCACTTAATGGGTTAGTGGTGGAGGAGCCACAGCTGGAGAGAGAGCTGGCGAGATGGAAGACAGAGCTGAGGAAATCAGCCAGCGTGTGGCAGAGGCTCAGTCAACGTGGCAGAGGTTGAGGGATAAGGCGAGGAATAGTTCTGAGAGGCGTCGGAAGGTTCCAGAAGGAGGAACCAGAGAGGATGAGAGAGGTAAACTGAGGAGAAAACTGCTTAGGTTTCTCCAGAATTGATAACGCCGGGGGGGTCCTGGGATTCAGGGAGGCGAGTGAGAGACGGGCCGCGGGACACGTGGCGGCGAGCGTGCGGAATTCAAGCGCCAGAAAGTTCTGGAGACTCGAGCCTGTTTACTGGCGGGTGGCTGGGCTGGGCCCTCACTCCTTGAGGGAGAAGTGCATCTTGTCATTGATCATCTTGCGCTCGGGGTTGAGGCGCTTGAGGATCTGGGCGAGCACGTTGACGGTCTGCTCGCTGCTCAGCCCTGTCTTCTTGGTCTGGAACTTCTTCAGCAGGTCCTTGGTGGTCATGGGCTTCCGCGTCAGGTAGCGCCGCACGGCCTCCTCGGTCACCTGCACGTCCCTGAGGGGCCGAGCGGAGGGTGGGGGAGGTGGGCGTCAGCGAGGCCCTCCCTGCTCCCCGGCCCGGCCCCTGCCGTCCCCGCCAACTTACCCGCTGCTGGGGGTCGACTTCCCGGACTGGGGCTGGGGGGTCGACTTCCCGGACAGGCTCTGCGGCCCGGTGTCCAGCCTCAACCGCTTGGCCGTCGGCGTGTCACTCGTCCGCTTCCCTTTGGGAGGAGGGGCAGGGCTGAGTCTTGGGGCTGGGAGGCTGAACCCCTGGGGGGACCCCAGCCGGGTGGTGCCAGGATTATGGTTGCAAGGGGCTCAGGGGCAGACAGGCCTCTGCCCCGATCTGGCCTCATTCCCAATGCTGAAGATCAAGGACAGAGGTCAAGAGGTCATGGTGGGGTCAAGGGGACCGGAAAGCCACTCACCCTGCTCCAGCTTGTTGGCGGCCGCCCGCAGGGTGGAGGAGGTGTTGGCGCTCTCTGTGCTGGGCGTGCCGGGCCGGCTGTTGCCCCGCGAGCTGCCTCCTGACGGCTTCCGCTCCCTCTTGGGGGGCGTCTTCTTCTTCTGCGAGATCGAGGTTGGGGATGTGAGTCTGGAAGGAGACACCCCGTCTGCCCCCCGCCCCGGGCTGGGCCGTACCGCCATGAAGAGGGCCGAGGAGGCCTCACTGTCGATGTCACTCTCCTCCGAGCTCTCTGACTCGTCGCTGCTATCTGCACGGGGCCACAGGAGGGGCGTCAGGACAAAGAGCCCCGCGCCCACCCTCAGCGCTATCAGGTAAACGGGGTCTGGGAGGGAGGAGATGGGGCCTGGAGCCTCGAACGCCGAGCCCACCTTTCCTCCGCTTCTTCTCCTGAGGCGTGGGCGCCTTCTTCTCCTCCTCCTCCTCCTTCTCCTCCTCGGGCGGCTTCTCCTCCTCGCTCTCCTCGCTGCTCTCGCTCTGCTCGTCGACGCCCTTGGGGCCCTCCTCCTGCTGGGGGACCTTGGGCTTGCCCTCCAGCTCCTCCTGGGAGCTGCTGTAAGACAGAGAGCGGGCAGAGGGTGAGTGGGCGCATCCGCCAGGCCGGCCCAGGGTCTTACACCCGCCTCCCGCCTGCCTCACCTGGAGCCGTCAGACATGTAGTCCACCTCCTGGCCCTCGAAGTCCCCGTCATCACTGTCCTCAAAGGCCTCGTCATCCGACCCCTTCTTCTTCTTCTTCTTCCTGCCCGCCTTGCCGGGCGGTGCCTTCTTCTTGGCCTTGGGGGCTTTGCCGCCTGGGGAGTGGAGAGGGCTCATCATGCTTTGTGTACTCCATGACATTTGGACACCTTGGGGGCCTTGCCGACTCAGGAGACTAGCTACTTTTTAGAGAAGGCAAAGGGCTCGCCGAGGGGCGCACCTCTCATGCGAAAACCAACAACCCATCCCGACTCTATACCCCCGAACACCCCCTTCTCTAACTCCCACACTCAGGGCCACTATCCCCGCCCTAAATCACCCCAGGGCCAGGTACGGGACAACTGGGGACAGCCCTGCAGCCTGGAGCCCGCCAGAATTATTCAAAGTGCTGATCCCCAGCTGTTCACCCTGCTCTGCTGTGCCTGTCCTGCGGAAACCCCGATAGAGGCCGTGGCCGAGGCCTTCCTGCTGCTCCTGTCTGCCTGCTACCAGCTCTGGTGCTTCCCCACGTGGCCCTGCGGGTGCCGTGCCCTCGTTTCCAGGGGAACCGTGAGTCACGAAACTTTTCCTTCAGTGGCGTTAACCTCTCCGTGTCCTCACTCAGCCACCTTCGTAAATTACTACGTGGGCACGAACCAGGGGGCCGTACCGACGCCGCCCGCCGCCCTGGGGGCTCCGCCCGGCCTCACCCTCCTCGCCACTGGCCTCGCTGTCGTCGGACGACATCTCCAGGTCGTCCTCCAGGTCGTGGATGCGCAGCTCGCTGGCCTTCTTACGGCTGCGCTTCTCCTTCTCCTCATCCTCCTCGTCCTGGTCCTGGTCCTTGAGCCGCCGCTGCTGCATGATGCTGAAGTGGTTCAGGACTTTGTTCCTCCTGCGGGCAGGGGCGGGGGGCGCAGTGGGGGCTGACAAAGGGCCTGGCTCAGGGCCCTCCTCCAGGAGCCGGGCCTCCTCCCTGCACCTCCGACTCAAGTGACGTGAGGGGTGATCTCACCCAGGGGACTCACGCACGTGACATGGAGCACCCTGAAGTCACACGGGGAGAGTTGGCCCTTCTTTAGTTCCCTGTCTGCCCCGAGTCCCTCAAGGTGAAGGCCTCGGTGTGATGTTGGCGTCTCAGCACCCCCCTGGGCTCAGGGCCTTTCTCAGGCAACAGAACCCAGCTGCAATATATTCATGTCCGTCTGTTTTTACTGGAGTTATGGGGGGCCTTCTTTTTTATGACAAGTGTTTCCACTTACTGTGGTGATGGAAGGTTTTACACATGTGACTGCATTTAATGAGACTCTTAGGATTGTATCTAGAAGCATAAGCAAAAATTCAGGGGTAGTGTGAAAAGGAATGAAGCTCTTTTGCACAAGAACGTGAATGTACTTAACACTACTGAATGGTATACTTAAAAATGGTTATGATGGGACATTTCATGTTTTTTACTACAATTAAAAAATTTTTTAAATTTTTTTTTAAAGAAAAGAAATGAAGCAGTGATACGTGCTACACAGATGAACCTTGAGGACATGACGCTCAGTGACATGAGCCAGACACAGCAGGACAGACACTGTGTGATCCCCTCACAGGAGGCCCCTAGAGGAGTCACATCCACACACACAGAAAGTAGACGGTGGGGCCAGCGGCTGGGGGAGGGGAGGGGAGTCAGTGTTTCATGGGGACAGAGTCTCAGTTTGGGAAGATGAGAAGGTTCTGGAGATGGATGGTGGGGATGGTTGTATGACATTGTGAATGTACATAACCACTGAATTGTACACTTAAAAATGGTTAAAATGGCACATTTTATGTTATGTGTATTTTACCTGCAGTTGATTTTATAAATATTGTGTATTTTACCTGCAGCCGCGCAACCTCCTGCGTGGGGGCAGCCAAGCAGGCCAGGGAGACCCCACCCGGCTCTGCCAATTCCTGCTCCAGGGCTCAGCTCAGCCACCACCTCCCCGGCTCTCACCCTGCCCTGTACGTCCCCGATGATTTCATGTCTGTCTCCCCAGTGGCTGGGAGCTCCCTGAGGGTCTGGTGGGGCCTGGCTTGGTCACCACTGAGTCCCCAGCTCCCAGGGGCACAAAGCTATGGTTATGTACCCCATATCTAATCATTTTGGCTCCCCGCTGGGGAATCTGAGAGATGACAATGTCAGCGTCCTGCCTCCCTCCTGGCCCCACCCAGGCTCCCTCACCTCTCCCACTCCTCCTCGGCCTCCTCGGCGGTGAGCGTGCGGTGCCGGGCCAGCGGCGTGAAGTTGTACCAGTTGTGCACGGGGAAGGCCTCGAAGGCCCCATCGGGGCACTGGGTGAAGATGTAGTAGGACGTGTTCTCTGTCACGCCTCCCTTCTTTATGCCCTTGAACCTGCAGGGAGCCCTGGTCACAGCCTGGCCCTTGGGACCAGCCCTGGCCCGCCCGAGCCCCCAGACCTGCCCCCTCTCCAGGGCCACCTGGGTTCTCTGAATAAAATCTGAGGCTGGGAGGCCTCGGGCTGGCCCTTCACCTGTCTGAGGCTCGATTTCTGCATCTGGAGAGCAGGGCCAGCACTCCCCACCTCGCAGAGCATCATGGTCCTCTCTGGAAGACTGTTAGATGAGCCATGAAGAACATGGACTCTGTGGTCAGACTCCTCAGGCCTGAACCACTGCCAGCCTCCTCCTGGCCTCCGCCCTCACCCTGTTCTGCCCCAAAAGTCCAGGCAATCTTACTAAGTGCCCCTTCCCTGCCCACAACCTTCAAGGCTCCCCCAGCCCACCTGCAGAGCAGCTACATCCTGGCATCCACTGCCCTGCGCGACCCACCCGCCCTCTCTCACTGTCACGCGCGGTGACAGTCTCCAGAGCTCAGCAGGCCATTTCGTGCCTTTGTGCGCACTGTTCTGCCTGGCGCGCCCTCCATCCACTCAACCTGTGTCCTCCCAATCCTCATGACCCCCGGGGCCCTAGGTGGCCCCCTGCTGTGCGGGCATCCAGGCTTCCTGCATCCTGGCCCCCAGAGCTCCAGAACAATCACCTACTCCGTTCATCTTCGCAAATAAAACCCTACGAGGTGGTATGTGCTGTCACCTGCGCGGTGCAGGTGAGACATCGAAGTTCAGAGAGGTCCCCCAGCAGAGTGAGGGCGTGAGGGGGATGCAGGCTGGCCCCCGCCGCCGCCACCTACTTCCTGCCTGATTTGCCGTTGACGCGGAGCACCCAGGGCTGGTCCTCCAGCCGGAACTCCTTGAGGACGATGCCGTACTTCTTCCTGCGAGCCTCCTCCCGAAGCTTGCGGTTGAACTCACTGCCCGCGCCCGACTCGGGCATTTCCTCCTCCTGGTAAATCTTCTTGTTGCTCAGGTCACGCTCCAGCCGGGCCTGGCGGGATGGGATGGGGGAGCAGGAAGCAAAACCTCTCGTCGGGGGGCCTGCCTTTGCGCGGGCCGTGCCCCCCGCCAAGAACACCCTCGACACCCCCATGCCGAGCTGCAGACAGTCAAAGCCAACTTCCTGCTGGGCAAAAAGGCACTCAGTGAACCTGGGCGAAGGGAGATGAGTATGCCTTGTACTATGTCACTTTTTGCTCTCCGACACTTTGTACTTATTTCCAAATGAAGAGTTAAGGCTGGGGCTTTTCCCAATTGCGATCTCCGCAATTGAGCAGCAGCTGTGAAATTTTAAAATGCACGTACTGCTCACCCCTCCTTCAGACAGGGGAGGATGAAATGACATACCCACAAGGTTATTTCCTGCTGCACTGCTTGTGGCGGCCAGAGACTGGAAGTGAATCGAAACGCACATCAACCGGGGACTGCTTAAATATACTGGGGTTCCTCCACACAATTGAATACAGTGCAGCCAAAAAAAAAGGTGGCGGCCGTATGGAACAATGACCAAGACATTAACTGAAGCAGGCAAGACGACCCACGTTCTTTCCCACGGTCGAGAGATTTCAGACCACTAGGAGAAACAGACCCTACAAGGTTCCAGGAAGGCAGGGGGAACCATGGCCCCTGGGCTGGCCACCTGTTTCTGTAAATGAAGTTTTATCGGCATGCAGCTGCACCCATTCATTTACAGAAGTCTAATGGCAGAATTGAGTAGTTGCAATCGAGACTGTCTGGCTGACAAAGCTGAACGTAATTATTAGCTGGCCCTTAAAAAAAAGCTTGCTGACTCCTGATATAAAGGATCACGAATGAGGATGTGAGAGACCCTCTAAAGCAACACCAGAAGCTGGAGGACAGTGGGACAAAGCCTTCAAAATTGGAGGGAAAATGGTTACCAAGCTAGAATTTAATACCCAGCCCAGCTATCCATCCTGAGGCTAGCATAAGGACCCTTGTAGGGACACGAGGACTCACAGTGTACTTCCCACACTTTTCAGGGAGCCACCCCAGGATGTGCCTCATTAAAACAGGGGGGCTAACAGGCCTGGTCTCCTGAAGGCAGTAACCCTCAGAGGGCAGAGGCCCTGCCTGGCCTGTTCACCGTCAGCCCAGGGGAGGGTCTCAGGCGATGGTTGCTGCAAGAACGCGTTTGGACGGGGTTTCTGCCACAATGTTGCCTGTGGGTGACAAATGACTATTGGGGGACTGATACGTGTTTAGACGGCTGTACCCACCCCCTTCCTCATGGTGATTAGTGACAAAGGGGTGTCAATCCCAGCAGATGAGTTTTTTACCGGAATGTAGCCCCGCCTTAGTTTTTCAGGGAGTGTGCCCCTCAGACAATGAGAACTTTAGGGGATGTATCTCCATGATTAGATTTTTAAGGGGTGTGACCCCTGGGTGATAAAAACAAGGGGTGATTAGATGGAGAGATGCCCCCCACGATCAGGGAAAAGATTATGTGTAACCCCCTGAGTTAGCAGTGGCTGTGACGTCACGTGTCTTGCAAGGTGATAACTACTCAGGGACATCCTCAAGGTGACTGGTGACACAGGGCACGGCCCCTCCAAGGGGACCAGTGAGTGATGGGAGGATATACTCCCCTGGGTCCTCAGGGATGGTGGGGGCTCTCCTGCTGGATGAGGGGCGAGGGCTGGTATGTTCCCAGGGTATTTATCAAGTTCTTCCTCTTGGTGAAGAGTGTTGGGGGGCAGGGTGCCCCCAATGGGTGGGTTATGTCTCTTGGATGATCAGTGATGGAGAACGTCCCCTCACTGAGTGATCAGGGATTTGGAAACACTGTACCCTCTTTGGATAACGTAGGCCAGGCCAGGGCTTGGGGGAGAGGGTAAAAGTGTGTTAGTTTGTATATGAACGTGTGTGCAGCTGGCGTGTCCACACTGGCAGGTTGCTATCGCCTCTCACTGGCTCAACTGGATGAGGCAATATTTTTTTTTTCTTGCAGAGGAAGATTCACCCTGAGCTAACATCTGTTTCAACCTTCGCCTATTTTGTATGTGGGTTGCCACCACAGCATGGCTGCTCACGAGTGGTGTAGGTCCACGCCTGGGAACCGAACCCGGGCTGCCAAACTTAACCACTAGGCCACAGGGCTGGCCCCAAGAGGCGATGTTTTAAAATAGTCGAAAGACAGGACTGTGCTCACAAACAAGATGAGCACTAGGAGTCACTCAACTGCGGGAGGGTCCGAAGCTGCCGTCTTCAGACTTCTGGTCAACTCCTCTGCCAAGCGGGTTCAGTCTCTGTGGCTTTAGATGCCACCCCAAATACCCAGATCCTCCACCCCAGTCTCCCAACTCATGTATCCAACTTACTGTCTCCTCCTTGAGGTCTAACGAGCAGCCTGACTATAAGATGTCTAGCACTGAATTCTCAAACACTCCGTCCAAACTGCACTGTCCCCAGGCTCTTCCATTTCAGTAAATGGAATCGTCTGGAATTCTGCTCTGGCCCTCACCTCTCAACATCCAATCCATCAACAAACCCTGTTGGCTCCACTTCCAGAACACACTGGAATCCAACCACTTCTGACAACCTCCGTTAGCTCCAGGCCCATCATTGCTCACCTGGACCAGAGCCGTCGCCTCCAGCCCTGTTCTCCCTTCATGTGCCCTCGACCCCACGGCAGCCAGATCACTTTACGACTTCCCTGCTTAAAACCCGGCTTCTGCTATAGACTGAATGTTTGTGTCGCCCCAAAATGCACATGTTGAAACCTAACCCCCAATATAATTGTATTGGGGGTGGGGTCTTTGGGAGGTGCTAAGTCCTGAGGGCGGAGCCCTCGTGAATGGGATTAGTGCCCTTATAAAAGGACCCCAGAGAGCTCCCTTGCCCCTTCTGCCATGTGAGGACACAGCAAAAAGGCGCCAGCTATGAACCAAGAAGCATGCCCTCACCAGACACCAAATCTGCTGGCACCTTGATCTGGGACTTCCAGCCTCCAGAACTGCGAGCAATAAATTTCTGTTGTTGACAAGCCACCCAGGCTCTGGTATTCTGTTATAGCAGCATGGACGGACTAAGACAGCTTCCAAAGTCCTTTCTAGAGCCTCTGACAACGGGGGTTCTGAGACCATCTGTAGAATGCAGCCCCCTCTCTTGCCCCAATAAATTTAGGCCAAAAATGCCCCCCAGTGGGCACAACTTCTAAATGTTCTCCTTTGAGGAGAAGGCCTCCTGTGGGGCCCGACAAATCCTACTCCAGGGATGCCCAGCAGCCCAGCCTGGGTCTTAGTCATCATTTTACCTCCACTCAGGGAGAGCTGAGGAAACTAAGCCTTAGTTACTATTACCACGAAGCAACTATTACAACCACCAAGTCCAGGATTGGGTTCTCTCTCGCCCTTAGAACCGGGACTTACCTGGTTCCAAGTCGCGAAGTTGACTTTATCGGCTGCATTGAAGGCCATGATATTATATTTTTTAGTTGTGTTTCTGGAGTGGGCAAGAAGAGGTAGTGTTCAGTCAATCAATCAATCATTCGTTCAACAAACCCTCCCGGGCTCAGCCTTTTGTGCCAGGCAATGCTGGGGACCCACAAAAGACCCCAGAGGTTCCCAGTCTGTCAGGGAAGCTGGATCCTACTCTCCCAAACCCATGCAGAAGAAGAGCAGAAGGAAGGACAAAGACTCGGGGGCACGCAATATGTGGGGATAATCGGGACCTCTGAGCTGGGGAGGGGGGAAGGCAGGCAGGGAATGCTTCCTGGAGGAGGAGGAAAATACTGGAACTGGGTTTTGTAGGATCCACAAGAATCCCCCCAGTACAGTCACTGTTGGGGAAAACGCATTCCTGGCAGAGGAAATGCTAGGCCACGGGGCTGCATCGTACTGCGTATTAAGCTACTCATTCATTCTTTCATTCCGTTCAAAAACCAGAGAGGCCTCAGCTCCACCCCAGCCCCGCCCTCAGGTCGCGCCGGTCCGGAGGGAGGATCGCAGGCGGTGCCGGGCCGCCTAAAGGCTCAGGCAGGTTTAATCGCTTTTTTGGGGGGACTGGGAGATGTGGTCAAGGACTTACTTGGGAACGCGAACGACATACTCGGTGACATTCTGGCTGCCGGGGCCCTGCGGGGAGAGCAGGCGGGACGGTGAGCGCGGGGCCGCAGAGGCCGCCGCCGGGACCCCCGATCCCCGCCGCGTACTCACGAGGGCCGCCATGGGCGACGGTCTGTGGCTCGGGTCCAGCCCGATCCGGGTCCTTCTGGCCTCCCCCGGGGTCCGCGTCCCTCAGTCCCGGGAAAGCCGCCCGCGCGGTGTCGGCTCTCTGGCAGCGATCGAGCAGCCCGAGCCCGAGAAGCCGCCGATCCTGGGAAAATCTACCCGGAAGCGGAGCCCCGTGGGCCGTCAGCTCCTGCCGCGTCTGCGCCTGCGCCGCCGCTTAACCCGGAAGCGAAACTCTCCCGCGGGCCGCGTCGCGATGGCAACCTCCTCCGCGGTCGTGGACCCCTCGATTCACTGTCATGTATCCCCCCTGTCCCTTTTCAGAACGGTAAGCCCAGGCCGACTCTGAGCTACAGGAAGCGCCTTCTGTCGCTGATCTCTATATATAGCGCGGTCAATCTAATCGCGACGTGTGGGAACGCCTTCCCCGTGACGTCATCACTCAAGGACCGCGGGGCATCCCGGGACGGGAGGGAGAAACTGGCCCTCCTCGCGGGCTCTCGGGCGCCGTGCGCATGCGCCTCCCCACTCCGGAAGTGAGTCCAAGGAGGCCGCGTCACCATAGCAACTGAGGCCTTCTCTGCTGCTTCGAGCCGCCGCTCCACCACCTGAACCTCTTCGAGGTTCATTTCCTCCCCCTGCCCCGGGGGCCCCCATCATCTCACTAAATGATCGGGCCAGGGGCCCTTGTGACGTTGGGCTGAGCCGGGAGGGGTCAGGGACTGGGTGGGGATGGGGCGCGACCACCCCACGGGCCGCTGGCGGGATGGGTCTTTGCAAGTCCAAGCTGCCCCAGATGGGCAGGTCCCTGAGGCCCCAGGAGAAGGGTAACATCGCGGGGGTGGCTGGCTTACTGGGGGGAAGAGAAGGAGGCTGTGGAGGGCAGGAGGGAGGTCCTGGTACCCCATCCCCCAAGTCCAGATGTGCACACGCTCCCCCTCCCGTCCCCACCGTGGTAGTAACACAACTGCGCATGCTCACGGATCAGCCATTCATTGATCTACTGGAGCGCCTTCTGTGCTGGGTTCTGGGCGCTCCGCGGTGGCTGTATCAAACCAGCTTCCTCTCCTCTTGGAGGTTACAGTGTAGTGGAGGAGACAGTCTCAGAAAATGGTATCTACAACCCAGGAGGGAACAGGACTGCCACAGGGAAAGAGCAGCCGGCTCTGAGGGCTCAGGGAAGAGGGGAGGTTTAAGCAGGGCCCTGCGGGATGTACAGGAGTTGGTTAAGCAAAGGGGGCTGGAAGCAAGACACCAGAATTGCACTATAAACTATGGCACTCCATAGACGTGTCTGATAGCCGTGGACATTTATTCCTCACCCACTACTCTATGTCAGGAACTGTGCCAACTACTAGTAATATAGGGACAAGCGAGACAGAAATAGTCCTTGTCCTCATGGAGTACAGGGTCTGGCTGGGGAGACAAACAACGAGTAAACAGGCAAATCAATACTGATCGTGGCTGTTGCTGTAGAGGAAATGGGGTTCTGAGACAGGGAATCATAGGGTGGGAGGTTCTTTAGACAGAGCTTAGAGAAGGCCTGACGGGTGAGCTGCGGCCTGAAGGCCCTGGGGCAGGCACTTCTGGGTGCAGGGAACAGCAGGGGAGGGATGAATTGGGCAAGTTCAAGAGACAGAAAGGAGGCCACTGGGACTGGAACGGAGTGAAGGAAAGGGAGGGTAGTATAGGATGAATCGGGAATGGACAAGTCCCCGCCCCCCTCTGAGCCTCAGTTTCTCAACTGTAAATGGGGTGATAGAGTCATTGCCGTGCTTCAAGGAAATGCTGTGTGCAAAGGGCCCGGCCTGCTCAGGTTCACATCCTTCTCCACAGCAACCCGCAGCAGCACTAATGCACGACATGCCTGGATATACCATTGGGCGTGGATGTGCACCCCCGGATGCCACCCTAGGGCAGAAGTGGGTATACCTGCAGACTTGTGTCCAGTGTCACCCAAGGACACGCACTGAGCAGTGCACACAGTCACATCAGCGCCCGCTGGCCCCTACAGGCACCAACCCCTCTCCCTCTTCCCCGGGCTCCGCAGACATCCTCAAGTCTCCCCTGATCGTCTTCGTGATGGGCGGCCCAGGCTGTGGCAAAGGGACACAGTGTAAGAACATGGCGACCAAGTATGGCTTCTGCCACGTGGGGCTGGGCCAGCTGCTGCGGCAGGAGGCCCAGTGTGGCACCCGGCGGGGCCAGAAGATCCGTGACATCATGCTGCAGGGGCTCCTGGTGCCCACGGTGAGAGCCCAGGGTGCAGGGGCAGAGGCAAGAACCGGGTATGTGGGGACAAACTTCCTGGGAAGGCCCTGTGGGAGCCGTGGCTCCTGGCCTGGCCACTGCTTTGCTGGGCTGGGCCTCGGTGTCCTCAGCTGTCAAATGGGACACCAGATGGACCCACAGCAAAAGTCTGTAGTCGTGAGGGTTGGATCACATCATTCCTATAAAGCACTTGGCAGACTGCCTGGCATTTAAGAAGCGCTCAATAAAATTAGCTAGTATTTATTCCCTTTGTGACTCTGGACATAGATATCATTCCCCTTCTGCACCCCTTTCCTCACTTGTAAAATTAAGTCACCCCAATGCCTACCTGTCAGGTGGTAGTAATGAATAAATGAGACCAGCAGGCCTGGCACATGCTGGACACCCACCCAGAAGACGGTTGCTGTGCCCAGTTCTCAGAAGCGCTTCCGGAGGCCCCTGGGGATCAGAGCACATTCAGAATCCCGGGTGCTAGGCAGGGCTTGTGTTTCCCCTAACTCACCTGAGGTCCAGACCGAGCAAGAGGACTGGCTGAGGTGACGGCGTAGGCGAGGGCCCCCGGGTGCTGAATCCAGCCACCCCTTTCCTTCCCAGGGTGTCATTCTAGATCTGATCAGCGACAACATGTTGTCCTGCCCGGAGAGCCGGGGCTTCCTCATCGACGGCTTCCCCCGGGAGCTGACGCAGGCCAAGGAGTTCGAGCGCATTGTGAGTGACCCCAAAGTGTGTGAGGGTGTGGCGGGACGGGAAGCTGTTCCTCCCTCCCCACCGTGGCTGGAGATCAGAAGGGGTGAGACTCAGGAGAGAGGAGATGACAAGAGGGAAATGGAGTTTTCTATCATCAAGGGACAGTCAGGAGATTGTTGGAAGCTTCTAGAACTGGGGTGAGTCGCTGGTGAGCTGAAGGCAGGGACAAAGTCATTTTAATGTCTTCCTGCACAGTTCCTGGCACCTCGTAGATAAACTGCCCACTGAGTAGCAGGTGGATTTAGCATCATTTCCGGTCCATAAAGATGGAATATAGTTATTCAATCATCTATTTATTCAACCACCTGTCCCCAAATAGTCCTTGAGAACAGACTGTGTCCTCGAGAGTTCATGAGACAGACTCAGGCCCTGGTCTTAGGATGCCAATAGACAGGCACGGAGCAATATGTGATGTGCAAAACAAAACAGAGAAATTTCTGGCAGTGGTTAGCGCAGGGAAGAACGGAAGACAGAATGCCGTCCTGGGGGGACGCGAGTGGGCTGTTTCAGTTTGGATGGTCCATGCGGCCCCCTTGAAGCGGGGACATCGGCCAACTGAGCGATGAAGGAGGAGCCAGCCGGCGCTGGGCAAGTCAGAGTGAATTTCTTCAGGTTATTGTTACACGTCAGCCACGCTGACTTTAGGAAAAGGCCCGTCCGGGCACCCGAACAGCCATGACTGGAGTGTCTGGAAATGGCTGAGCAGGAAGAGAGACACTGGCAGTCCGCAGGCCTCTGGGCTTTTCTGGAAATGGCTGGATTGGAGGGGAAGTGCCTTCAGGGAAGTCCAGGTGCATTGAGGGAGTCAGACAAAGGTCACCGGGCCTGGGGCCCCATGGGTGGGTGGGGCCCTGCCCGTTGTCCCCACTTCCATTGAAGCCATTCTGTCCGGCTCATTGTGATGAAGATAACGGGCTCCCTCTCCTGGTCTGGGACCTCCCAGGGCAAAGGCCGGCTCGTGGATTTTTCTAGTCCTCGTCCGCCCTGGGCCAGCGCCTGGCCTAAGGTAGGTGCTCTGCAGCGTTGAACACTTTTTTTTTTAAAGTTAGTGGCCAACCTTCAAAAATCGGGAGATGCCACATAAAACTCCCAGCTTCTCTTGAAAACTGCCTGACTTGGCAGCACGGGGCCTGCACGTCCCCATGGCAACAGCAGCGTGAACTCATCCCGAGCTTTTTACCGAGCCCAGTGCTGTTCTCGACACACGGCACGGATGAACTCTGATCTTCCGGAACATTCCAGAAGCACGTGTCTCGCACTGTTAGCACCCCGCTTTTTCAAAGAGGGGTTGGGGAGCTTGGCCAGAGTCACACAGTTTAGGAGGTGGAGGCAGGACTTAGGCCTGGGCGGTCAGGCTGTGAGCCCCCAATTTTAACCATGCCACCATTCCACTGTGGAGGGGGTATACCCCCTCTGCCTCACCGTGGTCCCCCTACGCCCAGTTCCTCCCTCACAGAGGCCCAGCATCCTCCACCATTTAGGATCTTGCTTGCATTGTGGTTTCATGCTAAGAGGAACAGAATGCATGCTTTTCCCTCGTACCCGTGTGGCTGTCAGAGTGAGAACATGAAAGAAAATGGGGCTCTGTGTTACGAGAGTGGGTTTTCTTTGCAGAGAATTTTCTAGATGTCTGAGACCCACCTGGCCCCTGTAGGCCTTTGAGTTTGTGGTGGCCCCTGCCTTAGGGTCTGTCCAGCGTCTGAGTTGGAAGGCGTCCCCGGAGCCTCCCAGCTGGGCCCTTCACCCCTGATCCCACTGGGCTCATGCGGCTGTTTTAGGCCATCTTTGGTGCGAGTTGGTGCAATGGGTCTGGCTTGAGGCTGGAACTCCAGAACAGAAGTCTCCGTGCACAAGAACACAGTACCTAGGAATTCCTCCCTTTTCTATTCCTGCTCTCTCCACATACACTCAAAACACCACGGGTGGGCTTTTGGGGTCCAACATGCAGAAATTCACAAGAAGCCAAGGTTGGACGCCATCTTGCCATTCCCGGGGGACCAATGACGCCATTTTGCAGACAGGGAAACCAAGGCCCAAGAAGGGAAGGATCCCTGAGGTTGGCCCCTGCCCGGTGGGAGGTGGGCTGGCCTCGTTCAGGCACTGGCTTTGGAGCCACTGAGACTGGGGCTCCAATCACACTCGGCCACTTTCTCTATCCGCACACAGACCGCACAAACGGGTGGGCCCTCTGAGCCTCAGTTTCCCCATCTTCCACGAGTGCAGACAGAAATGCTACAAGCATCTCCTGATGGGGGTGGAACTTACTCCCGTGACAGTTTCACGTCTGTTTCCGAGACTGCATCAGGCACCTCTGCCCCTGTCCTAAAAACAGAAGCTCCGGGCAGCGAGGCCCGTGGCTGTTTGTTGAGAGCCTGGCCTGGCCCGTGGCGGACCGTGCATGTCTAACAAATACACTGAAAGCCCCCCAGGAAGCACTGCGCTCAAGGGGTGGTGGGGAGGACCAGACAATGCACGGGCAGCTCCAATTATTCCAATCAGGTTGGACGGCATTGGAGCATCCATGAACAGTCTCCCTATGACGCCCAGGGACACGAGGCCCATTTATCTGGGCTAATGTTTCTCCTTAAGTGTCACCTGCATCGAGGGACAAAAGATGATTTTGGGGGTTCACAGAAGAACATTTTCAAATAATTACGTATTTTTGAAAACTTTTTATTAATCAGAGCCTCACAGGAAATTGCCAAGGTGGGCGAGAGGTCCCCTTGCACCCACCTAGCTCCCCCTGGTGGGAGCATCTTATTCGTGTGTTGTCCAGTATCAGAACCTGGCTGTTGGTATGTATTTGGTTTTACAGTTTCCTCCACGCAAGTAACGTTCACGTTCCACCTACCAAAGTGTTATCATTGCCTTTAAAAAAAAAAAAGTAGAAAAAGGAAGTTGGTGGAATTCAGAGTCTTAAATAACAGCGCTGGCTGTGAACAGAAAGGTAGTCTGGAAAACTTCCACTGAAGTCAATCGATGAACGTTCACCCCACAAAGCCTCGCACTTGGAAGCACGGGAGACAATGGAGACACCCGGGTGGCCGTCCTCGCCAGGAAAGAGAGGTGTCTGTGGTATTCGTGTGGGCTTAATCCTTCCTGAGCGGAATGCCAGCAAGGAAATCTTTGGTATTTCTGCGATGCCACGTTTCAAACCCGCACAAAATTGGACTGGTCTCAGGAATCTCCACACACCCAGATCAAACCATTATCATGGCCTGGCCACGCTCGCGTTATCCATGCCAAAACGTCTGGTCGCGATTGCCGAGGATGTGTTTTGAAGGATATCCCGAATCCCACTGTTTCCTCATCCCACTGCATCCGGGGTGATGAACATGAATCCCTTGAGACCAATTGATGCTCAGTCCACATTCACATTTTCCCACTGTCTGAAAAATGTCTCTGATTTCAAGTTGGTTAGATTTAGGAGTCAAATGAGGTCCATGCCTTGCTAGGTCTCTTCTAATCCAAGACAGACAGTCCTCCTGGCTTGCTTCCTCCTGCCCTTGACACCTTGAAATTCTGGGTCAATTATCCTGTACAAAGTCTCATGTTTGGGATCTTTCCACATGCTTCCTTCCTCATGGTATTTTTTTTTAATTTTTAATTTTTGGTGAGGAAGATTGGCCCTGAGCTAACATCTGTGCCAGTCTTCCTCTACTTTGTATGTGGGACGCCACCACAGCATGGCATGATGAGTGGTGTGTAGGTCCACGCCTGGGATCTGAACCTGCGAACCCTGGGCCACCGAAGCAGAGTGCGCAAACTTAACCACTATGCCACCGGGCCATCCCCTCACGGTGTTATTTAACTTGTCTCCTTCCATCCCTCATTTACCCTGTACACTGAACATTAACTACAGGTGTACTTAGATTGTGGTTCTATACATTTTGTGCTTTTTTTTAACCCATAAACATTTGAATATATAGTTCTAAAGGATGAACTTTTGTAAAATCATAACACTTCCGTTAGCACAACTTAATATCCTTCATGTCATCAAATAACCCATCAATATTCAAACTTCCGTGAACATCTCAAAATTTGTCTCCTTACATCTTGTTTTCCTCAGAATTTAAGTAAGGGTGACCCACTGCGATTGGCGGCTGTGTCTCCGATGTTCCTTTGCATCTATAGGTGACGTGCTCCTTCCATCTGTCTGTCTTTTTTTTCCTTGCAATTTTATTTATTGAAGAAACCAAATTTTTGGTTGTCTTTATTTTGCATAGTGTGGATTCTGCTGATTGCAAAGTATTTCTTACCATGTTCCTCTCTCCTCTGTATTTCCTCTAAATTGGCAGTGTGTCTCGAGTCAGCTTCAGGACTCAAATTCCATTTTTCAAGTGCACTTCGTAGGCGGTGATGTGAGGCATAATAATGCTTAGTTGTGTGTTTGCTGTGGTCGGTTTATTTTTTAAATGTGTTCAAATGTGTTATTGAAGAGGAATCAGGTTTCTGAATGTTCACTGGGGTCCAGGTGGTGGACACGAGAAGGTGGGAAACACAGCGCTTGCTGAATTCACTTTCTGTCCCGTTCTGACAATGGCGGGGCTATGACATTCTCTGTTCCTCCATGGTTTGGTTCCTCCCCTGGTCAATGAATCAGTGCGAACTGGTGTCGAGCGCTGTGATTCGATACTTTTGTATTGCGTAATTTCAGGAGGCTCCTACCTGCCCGGTTGTCCCACTCTTAGGAAGGGGTCTGCTATGGGCTGAATTGAGTCCCTCCAAATTCATATGTTGGAGTCCTAACCCCCAGGAGCTCAGAATGTGACTGTATTTGGAGATGGGTCTTTAAAGAGGTGATTAAGTTAAAGGAGGTCATCAGGGCAGGTTCTGATCCAATGACGGGGGTCCTTATTACAAGAGGAGATGAGGACACAGACATGACAGAGGAGAGACCAAGTGAGGACACAGGGAGGAGGCAGCCGTCTACACGCCAAGGAGAGAGGCCTCAGAGGGAACAAGCCCTGCCACCACCTCGATCTCGGACTTCCAGCCTCCGGGACTGAGGGAAAATAGAATTTCTGTTGAGTCACCCGATCTGTGGCACTTTGTTGTGACAGCCCTAGCAAACCCCTACAGGGTCAGATAGTGACTGCTCTAAAATGCCCCATCAACCTCTTACCTCATGGTTTCATTCATTGCTGATCTGAATCAGTTATTTCATTAGATGTTGCGAATTTGTAATTTTCTCTTCTGACCATCTTTTCCACATCGATTAGCTGGAATTCTTCCCTAAAGAACTTTCCTTCCTCGACTAGGGCTATTTGGTTATCCTGAAATACAGTTCCTACCAGACGGGTGGGACGAATGCTTAACTCCTTCCCTTTCGTGGCCAGTTTTCAGACTAAGAAGTTGATGTCCTAGTCACCTCTGATGGTGACAGCGAAGTTCGTTATTTCGTCTTCCTTTCTTTTGTTGTCTCTCATGACAAACCCGTGGGTCTTCCGATATATTTAATGGGTTTCAATCAATTGTAGTGTTTTTATTATTGCTGTTGCTCAGGCTGTCACATTTTTGGCCCAGAGGAGATGCTGACACTGTGTCCTTCTGGACACAGCCCCACTTCACACGGTCGTCTTGCTTTCTGGCCCAAGACCTCCCATCCCCGGACCTTTCACACTTCCTGCCCAGTCCCGGAATTGGTCGTTTCTCCAAGGAGCCCGCCGTCCAATGTGGGTGCCCGTGCTACTCACTGCTCTTGTGTTTTCACGTTTCCAGGCCTTTCCAGCGGACAGAGCCAGGAAACACACACTTTTGAAAGGGAAAAAAAAAAAAAAATCACAAGTTCATACTGATTATTTCCAGTTCATACTTAACATCACAGTGTCTTTACTTCTCTTTTCTCTTTCCTGAAAAATGTTGCTTCCTAAAACCATGAACACATGCATTTGCATTATTCCATTAGATGCAAAATAGTTTCCAAATAATACGCCAGTATTAACTCCTAAGAATCAAACTACCGAAGGAAGTTTAAGATTTCTTGGCAGCTCTGGTTTTCCTTATAATAGATCTCACTGTGGATTTATAATAAAAACACCAGGTTGCTTGAAATAATTATTTTCTCTGTGTAGTTATGGCATGACATCGACACACAGTTCGTACATTCATTTCAGGTTTTTTTTTGGTGAGGAAGATTGGCCCTGAGCTAACATCTGTGCCAGTCTTCCTCTAGTTTGTATATGGGACGCTGCCACAGCACGGCTTGATAAGTGGTGCATAGGTCCATGCCAGGGATCCGAACCTGTGAAACCCAGGCCGCCAAAGCGGAGCGCGCAAACTTAACCACTACGCCACCAGGCCAGCCCCTCAGTTTGGTTTTTGATATTTAGGGATTGCTTTTTTGAATTTGTAAATTATTTAATGATTCCAAAGTCAAAGCCACATAAAAATGTATATCCAGAGAGAGCTTGTTTCCATTCATCCCTATCCACCACCTACCCCAAACTGTGCCCTCCTTTCCCCATATGCAACCATTCTCTTTAGTTTTTGATTTTCCGTTCTGGTGTTTCTCTTCGCAAATATAAAGCAGGTGTGTGTGTTCGTGTGTCTGTGTGTGTGTGTGACCCTCCTCACACAAAAACTAGCATTCCATATATACTAATCTTCCCTTTTTTTTTTTTTTTTAACTTTACAATGTATCCTGAAGATCTCATACCAGCATCAAGAGTCTTCCTCGTTCTTTTTTGCAACTAGTATTCCGTTGTGCGGCAGTGCCGTGGTTTATACAGCTCGTCTCCCATGGACGATAAGTTGCTGGACAACTTAATGATAGACGATAAGCAGTTTGCAGTCCTTTGCCATTACAGCCAATGCCACGCTAACTAACCTTTGCGTGGCGTCTCATATCTTTGCTGGCATCTGTAGGATAGGTTCTTAGGAGTGGGATTGCTGGATTAAAGAGAAATGCATAGATTATTTTGCTAGATAGCACCACACTCCTCATTCTGCATTGCCACCAGCAAGAGATGAAAGTGTCCATTTCCTCACAGCCACACCCACAAGGATGCTGCCAAACTTCTGGGTTTGTGTCACCCTGCTTAGGCACGAAATAGTATTTCAAGGTAGTTTTAAATGGGCATTTCTCTGACTATGAGTGAGGCCGAGCATCTTTTCCAAAGTTGAGGGGCCATTTTCATTTCTTTTTCTGTGAACTCACTCTTGATATCTTTTGCTCATTTTTTTTTCCTGTTGGTCTTTTTCTTCTTGATTTTTAGGAACTCTTTATATATTAGGGATATGAGCCATTTTCGATACAGGTTGCAATCTTTCCAGTCCTACGTTAGAAGGGAATTCGTCTGTGGTTACTTTAGTACTTGTATGGTCTTCTTTCTTACATGTTACCTCTGATCTTATTTGGAACTTATCCTCATTTTTGGAATGAGGTAATGATTCAATTTTTTTTCCAAATTGTGATCCAGTTTTCCCAGCATCCTTTAGTTAAAAGTCTGTCCTTTCTCCATTGACTTGTGATGTCACCCTAGCCATATACCAACTTTCCATATTCACTCGGGTCTATTTCTGGACTTTCCCTTCTGTTCCAGGGGTCGGTCTGTCCGCTTGTGCACTCTGCTTTAATTATGGCGGCTGTATTAGGTTTTAATATCTGGTAGGGTTGAATGCCGCCTCCCCCGCCCCCACTGCCCATGGCTTTATTCTCTGCCCAGGTTCTCCTGGTCATTCCTGCTTGTTTATTTTGTATATGAATGTTAGAATCAACCCAACTCCACTAAAAATATGTTATCACATTGAAATTATAAACTAATTTAGGAAAACTTGGCTCTTTTATAATGTTGAGTCTTCCTACCCAAGAACATTTGTATCTTCCTTTTGTTCAAGTCTCCTTTGAGTCACTCAGGAATATTTTATTTAAGTTTTCCTTAAAGATCTTAAGACTGCACATTTTTGGAAAAGTTTTCCCTGAGTAGCTTATACTTTTATTTTTGTTGCTGTGGTAAATGGGGCTTTTTTATTTCTAACTGGTGACTTTTGTATACATGTAGACTATTGACTTCTGTATGTTAATGCTATATCCAGTTACTTTATCAAATTCTCTCAAGTCTGTACTAGTTTGTTGATTTTCTTGAGTTTTCCAGAAATATAATCACATTATTTACAAACAGACATGGTTTTACCTCCATCTTTCCAGTTCTGGTTTCTCAAATTGCTTTCTTTCATCTCTTTGCGTTAGCGAATCCTCTCATACCTTACACCAAGTCACAGTGGCAATAGTGGGCAATTTTCTCTTGTTCCTGACTTTAGTGGGAAAGCAAGTTTCCATTAAGTATGATGCTGGCTGATGCTATATTTATCAATTACTAGTGTTTTTTTTCCCCCTAAATCAGGAATGCCTGCTGAATTTTGTCAGTTGCCCTTTCTTTGTTTATGAGGATGCTCATGTGACTTTTTCTTAAGATGTTACTAGAATAAATTGTATCAAACCATCCTTGCTTTCCTGGGATGAATCCCACTTGGTTGTGATTTCTTTTCTTTCTTTTTTTGTGAGGAAGATTGGCCCTCAGCTAGCATCCGTTGCCAATCCTCCTCTCTTTGCTGAGGAAGATTGTCCCTGAGCTAACATCTGTGCCCATCTTCCTCTATTTTTGTATATGGCATGCCACCACAGCATGGCCTGATGAGCAGTGCGTGGGTCTGTGCCTGGGATCTGAACCTGTGAACCCCAGGCCACTGAAGAGGAGTGCACAAACTTAACCACTACGCCACCGGGCCGGCCCCTTTGATTTCTTTTTTAATGTGCTGTTGGATTCTGTTTTACAAGGACATTCTGGAGGAGCTAGGAGGAGGTGGAGCCTGCAGTGGGCAGCCATGGAGATCCAGGAATATGTACCTGAGGTGGGGCCAGTCAGGGAGGCAGATCGGTGGTATGGGCAGTGGTGAGCCGGGGACACTCTTACCTTCCCCTGGGCAAGAGGAAGGCGAGAGAAAACTGCTTCAATCCATCCTAAAAGGAGTATTTCAATCTAAATACCCATCAACGAGGAACTAGTTAAGTCAATTATGGTACATCCATACAGCAGAATACTATATAGTGGTTAAAAAGAACCAGAGGGGCCGGCCCCGTGGCTTAGAGGTTAAGTGCGCGCGCTCCGCTGCTGGCGGCCCGGGTTCAGATCCCGGGCGCGCACCGACCCACCTCTTGTCCGGCCATGCTGAGGCCGCGTCCCACATACAGCAACTAGAAGGATGTGCAACTATGACATACAACTATCTACTGGGGCTTTGGGGGAGAAAAGGGAGAAAAAAAGGAGGATTGGCAATAAATGTTAGCTCAGAGCCGGTCTTCCTCAGCAAAAAGAAGATTAGCATGGATGTTAGCTCAGGGCTGATCTTCCTCACACACAAAAAAAAACCCAGAAACCTCCTCAGGTGCCAGTGTGCAATCATCTCCAGTTATACCGTGTGCAAATCAGTGTCTTCACCATTTGTATAAACAAGGAGGAAACATATCAGAACCAGGCTTGCTTGTACATCATATGCCTAAAATAGCTGCTGAAGGAGACACAAGAACCAGATAGCTTGGGTGCCTCCAGGAGAGTGCAACTGGGCGGCTGGGGACAGCGAGGAGACTCTTCACTCTTTCTCGTTTGTGTAATTTGGCTTATGAGCTCTGCCCATGTCCTACCTATCCAAAAAACAAACAAGTAAAACGAGAACTCGGAAATAAGAAATTTAAAACGGACCCACGGGGCCGATTCTTCTTTCCCGGCCCATACAATCCTAGATTCCTGATCTCTGGGGGGGTCCCGGGGCCACCGCGCCCAGCCTCTTCCTCATCCAGCCCCCTTCGTGGACGCCTAGGTGGGCCGGGCCCCCAACATGGTCATCGTGTTTGACTGTTCCATGGAGACGATGGTCCAGAGGGCGCTGCGCCGGGGCCAGGTGGAGCACCGGGCGGATGACTGTGAGTCGGCCATCCGCCAGCGCCTGGAGACGCACTACACCCTGTGTGAGCCTGTCCTGACTTTCTACCAGCAGAAGAACCTGCTCCGAAACGTAGGTACCTGGCCCTGGGGGAGCGAGTCCCCCTTAAGCAGCCCAGGGGAATCCCATCTCCTCCATGAGGCAGTCCGGGCTCAGGCTGCAGCCTCCCAGCTATGGCAACATTTAAGGTCTAAACAGAATGCCTGGCTCCAAAACTGCAAAACTAAATGCATTTTAGGGCATATATACAAAACATAAGATTATGACAACTGGTCAACCACAGCTCAGTTCAATCCAGCCATATAGCTCCTCAAGGTAGAAAGCAGGCATATCTTCATTCTTAGTGACCCACCCAATTCCTGTACTTTTCACTGTTATGAAGATGGGCAACTCTGGTGATGTTCCCATCCCCGACTGAAGGTAGGAGCATGAGATGAGGCTAAAGTGAGGGACAGATGCCCCGTGGAACTAGCTTCAACCAGCGAGGATGAGACGGAAGGGCCGGTGGGCGAGTCCCTGCACACTCCTCCCTCATGTGGCCTGTTCCGAGGGACCGCAGCTCCACACAGCTCGTGGGGCCGAGTGACCAGCTGTCAGTCACACGTAACCTTGCGTGGCAGCCTTCCTGAGCCCGTTCCCTCTCCCCTCGCTTGCTCGGCCCTGGACTGCACCTCCTGATTCTTTATAGGCACTTAATAAAAAGAGGCCTGTGAGCTGGTTTCTCCCTTGTCAGAGGGGTGGAGAACAAGGTCCCTGCTGTGACTCAGAACTGACCCCTTTTCTCCCCCTCCTCTAGATCTTGGCAGAAGAAGCTCCAGAAAACATTTTTGCCAAGTGCTGCTCTGTCATCGAAAGCCTGCGGTGAGACGGGAGGGCGCTGGGGTCTCTGCCTTTCCCCTCACCCCAGGACCTGCACAGGCTCAGAAGGGGGCAGTGCCTGTGAGGTAGGCTGTCTGGCGAGGGGACCCCAGAGTGACAGCATCCGCCCCCCCTTCCTGGGCCCACTGTAAGGCGGGGCACCAACAAACACCCCCACAGGGGCAGGTCACAGGCTGTGGACGGCCCCACCTAAAGGCGGTAGCTGTTGCTGCCTCCTGCTTGGTGCTGCCATATCCGCCTATGGGCCCAGGCACCCAGATTCTGAACGTGAAACCTCATTTTTAAGCATCGGTATTCAACCATAAGTCCACAATGAACACTCCACCCATACAGTATGCCACAGATGCCACCCTTGGGCGAGACAGCTCAGGTGGCCCCTCGGTTCAGTCTCCCATCCTCATCCTTGGGAGGCCGTGGCCTGCCACCAAGCACTGCACCTGGCACCATTTCCTTGAACATGCCAGGTTTCCACCTCAGGCTCGCTAAGGAAATAGGCCACAGCCAGGCACGGATCAAGGCCAGGCTGACTCCCGTGAGGCACGGCCTGGGTTTGCTGTGTGGCAGACCGCATCCATGGGAACACCTGTCCCCAGGGATTCCCCCTGGGTGCCTTGCTCCCCAAGTTCCCAGAGGGATAAACGGGGTGGGGGGAGACCGCACCGCAGGGGCTCAGCCCATTCCCTTCCTGCAAGGCAAGAGCACAAGGGCAAAGTTTTTGGGGGACCATACCCCACTCTCATCGGCCAAGCATTGTTCCTCTTCAACTTTACGAACACAACTGCGGCCAGCACGCAGTTTTAGACAAAAAGCACTTTATTTAACCAAAAAAAAAAAGGGGGGGGGGTGGTTAGGAAAGCACAATGCGCCTGCAAAAAACTATTTTCTCTTATAATTGTTTTCTTAAAAAAAAAAAGAAAAAAAAAAGAAAAAAACACAACACAAAGCTTGTAATTTCCAATCACCATTATCAGGCTTTTACAACATCTATAAAGAACAAACATCTGCTTCAAAACTCTACAGGGGGAGGAGGGAGGGAGGGAGGGAGAGTGAGAGAGAGAGAGAGAGAGACACGGCACCCAGCAGACACGGGGAGGTTTTGTTATCATTTATTTGTGAAGTTAAAAACGAGCGATAAAAAGTAAAAACTGCCATACAAGTTTTTTGTTTGTTTTGTTCTCAATTTGTTTTCAATGTCCTCTTTAACAGATGAAACACGACAGACCAGTCCTGGGGGGGATGGGAGGGCCGCAGGGGAGCCGAGCGAGGGCGGAAGGACAGAGAGGAGGAGCAGAGGCCGAGGGGCTCACTGGGGGTGGGGGGTGGAGGGTGGGCTTTCCTGCAATAGAAACACCTGGTCCAAGGAATGTTCCAACTCTAACTAAAAAAAAAAAAAGAAATAGCAAGAGTGACTTTGTTTCCTTTTTAAAAGTTTATTTTAAAAACACGAAGAGGGCCGAGGGTGGCAGGGAGAAAATGAATTGCTTTCCCCTGAAAAAGGCAGTTTCAGGAAGGCTGGGGACGTATAGAGATTTTTATATATATATATATATAATTTTATAGGTTTTGTTTTGCTTTCTGTGTTTTTTATTTTAAAAATTTCTTTTTTTTTTTTTGCAGAGATTTTAGTTCTCGCTATCTTCTATGGCTGGCTCAACATGAAGGATCCCAATTTTGAAAGAAAAAAAGCATGTGAGACACACAGAATGAGCGAGAGAGCGAGAGCCCGGCGTCGCCCGTGCTGCGACCTCCACGCCACTCACAGTGAGGGCTCCCCCATACCCCCCCCACGGCAGCCATCGCTCTCTCGCCAAACGGAAAAAAAAAAAAGAAACAAAAAAAAGCCCCCAAACAGAACAAAATGGAAAAATAATAAAAGATTTTCACAGATGAAGAAGTTCACATTCATTCGATTCATTGAGCCTGCGGAGAGGGAAGAGATAGGAATTGGTCACTACGGGGAGGGGAGGAGGGGGCAGGAGACTAGGGGGACAGTGGCGAGGAGGGGCCAGGAAGCCCCTCTCCCGAGCCTGTGCGAGCGCAGGCTGGAAGGATGTGTTTGTAACTGTCTAGTCAAGTGCTCTGGGGGTCGGCTGAAGTCAGACTGGCTCCTGATGGAGGAGAGAGAGGGACACCAAGGCAGGGAGGAGAGAAGCGGGGCCGCAGAGAGAGAGAGAGAGGGAGAGAGAGCAGGAGAGAAGCGCGCTCAGGGTCTGGAGGGAGGAGGGTGCCCTTCGTCTTCAGGAAGCGGGCGGCTCCCGGCGCATCACAACATCAACAATCTCAGAGATCACGGAGTCCCCACAACACCCCTGTGAGGTAGGTTGGAAGGTGGCAGCGATCGTCATGCCCACTTCACAGACAAGACCGGGACACAGAGGCGGGCGCGAGAGCAGAGGCGGCTGAGCCCAGGCCGGGGGAGCGCGGGGCCCCGCGGCCAGGCCCCTGGGCAGGCTCCCCACGACCGGCCAGAGCCAGGGCTGACCCACGTGGGGCCGCCTGCAACACACACAGTCACTTGGACACCGGGGAAAGGTCATGGGTTTAAAAATAAAGGACTAAAAAGAACTAAAACCAAAAGTAATGCAGAAGAGGGGAAAACAGATCCGTTTTCTTCCCAAGTGGCCAGATTTTGAGTGAGCGAGTTAGCAGCCAGGACGGCGACCAACGGTGGAGCGACGGCCCGCCCCCACCCCAGGACTACCCACCAGTTCAACAGTTCCACCCGGCGTTTGTCTCCGCTCTCCCCCAGCATCACGACAGCGGTACACAGGAACAAGCGGGCCGGCGGAGGGAGGCCTCTTCGTTTAACCTCTGGACCCAGCGCACACTGCCCCCGGCTCGTGGGGGCTCCCGGAGACCTCTGGCCACACGGCCCCCGCTGCAGGCATCAAGGACACACCCCGCAGGGGAAGGGATTGCCGGCGCTACCCACTAAGGCAGGATGGACGGTGGCCGGGGGTTGGAAGGAAAAAGGAGGAGGAGGAGGGTGGCAATTCCCACTTGCCTGCTGCTGTCCCTGCTGTGTGGGTGGAGGCTGGGGGCCGCCAGGACCTGGGGTCTGTCCGTAGTAAGCGGCCTGCTGTCTGTAATATTCAGCCCAGGCGGCACTGTAGTCCGGCTGGGAGCCTGGGGGCGCTCCCGGACCCCCTCCGGTGGCCACTTGAGCTGCGGGGGCACAGAGGGTGAGTGAGGACGGCTGGGCGAGAGTGGGCCGGCCCCGCCCCGCGGCCCCCGGCTCACCTTGCTTCTTGTAGTACTCCTCCCAGGCCTTCGTGTAGTCCTGCTGCGGCGGCGCTCCGGGCTGCTGGGGCTGCTGGCCTGCGGAGGGGCCGGAGAGGTCAGAGAAGAGCCCGGACGCAGCCCTCCCGCCGCCCGCTCACTGGAGCCCCTGCCGCGGCCCCACACTCACCGATCTTCTTGTAATACTCTTCCCAGGCCTTAGTGTAGTCCGACTGGCCGGCAGGTGGGGGCTGGGGGGGCTCGCCCTGGGCAGGCGGGGCCGCGGGGGCTGGTGCGGGGCCGGGCACGGGGCCTGGGGGCTGCTGGTAGTAGTGTGAGTAGTAGGCGGCCCAGGCAGCATTGGGGTCGGCGGCAGCCGCGGCGGCTTTGTCTGCGGGAGGAGGGAAGGCGGCCTGAGGCGTGGAGTCCAGGCAGCCAGCCCTGTGGCCCCACTGGGTGCCCAGGCCTGTCCTGCCCCTCGCCCGGGCGGCCTTACTTACTTGGATCGTGAGGAGCAGGTGGTTGCCACTGGGGGTAGGTGTTGCCCCAGCCCTGGGGGGGGTACTGGTGAGGAGGGGGGCCCCCGGCACTGCAGGAGGAGAAAGAGGGAACACATGAGCCAGGGCCGCTCCTCGAGGGGCAGGGACGGCTGCAGGAAGCGGGCCCAGGCCCAGACCCCCGCCTGCGTGGAGCCCCTCGCCCAGGGAAAGGCGTGAGACAGACAAGGCAGGAGACACAGGCTGTGTCAGCCCAAGGATGCGCAAGTCCCCAGATTCAACACGCCCGGATTTATACACAGGGTGGAAAAGAATAGGATCAGCGCTTGGGGTGTCTTTTAAAAATGGCGCCTGTGAGGCAGGGGGCTGGACGGGGTCACGTTTGGGGCCTGTACAACCAGCACGCCCAGAAGACGGGATGGATCTCTTGGCAGTGCATGGACATGGGGCCTGCTGCTCTTCTCGCCAGCATGGCGACCCCACCCCCTACATCCCAGGAAGCCGAGAGAATACTCACTGAGGGGGAGCCCCGGGGGGCCCCTGATTGAAGGGGCCGGGGTTGAAGGGCCCCATGGGGCCGGCAGGGCCTGGTCCCCCAGGGCCTGGTCCGACTGGGCAGAGGGGACCCTGAAGGAGAACGGGACAAGGTCAGCGGGGAGGGAGACAGGAGCCGAGCCCCGGCTCCCAGCGCCTCCCTGAGCCCACCTCAATCTTCTCCTCGATGAGCTGCTTGGCGTGGTCAATCTGCTGCGGGGAGCCCCGGATGATGAAGAGTTTGAAGTTGGGGTCCCCGTTGGGCGGCAGCTGCCGGGAGATCTCTACGAAGGCGCCCGTCTGCTGGTTTATGGCTTTCACGTTCTCACCACCTGTGGGGGGCCGCAGACAGTGAAGGGGGGTGGGAGGAGAGAGTGGGTGAGGGACGGAGCGTGGAGGGATCTACTCACCTCGGCCGATGACCAGCCCGCACTTATGAGTGGGGATGGAAAAGGTCATCTCCCCGCCAGGCGGGCCCCAGTTGCCCTGGCCCCTTCCTCGGCCCCGGCCACCCGGGGGCATGCCAGGACCCCCTGGAGGGCCCGGAGGACCACTCTGCAAGACAGGGAGATGGAGGGTGAAGGCAGGAAGCCAGCCTGGCCCTGGGACTTCCCTGGGCGGGCCGGCCAGCCCCCTGGGACCCCACCAGCCCTCACCCACCCTGAGGCTCTGGAGGAGGTCATTGATGATCCGCGCTGCGTGCTCGCACCGGTCCGGGGGCCCCATTATGTGAGCTATCTTCTCGGGGCCCGTCCCGTCGTCTGAGGCCAGCACCCAGAGAGCAGAGAGACGGATTTA